ACAAAAATAATCACGCTGTAACCATTTTCATTAACTAGTGGAGAGCAGTCATCTGAACATTGTCCTATCTGCAGGTTGAGTCCATCCTGAATGGTAACTACTTGATGCCAGGGGGCGCCACTGAGTTGAAGAGACTGTGCCAGGTGTGTGGAGACTCAGCCTCTGGTTCCCACTACGGTGTGGCCTCCTGTGAGGCCTGTAAGGCCTTCTTCAAGAGGACAGTTCAAGGTGAGTGAGGGTGTGCAGTGTGTAAACTGTATTGATTGGTGTGAGAAACCATGGGCCGTTTGGACTCATTCTCACACGTTCAATTTAAGGTCCTTTTTAAGGTCCAACAAACATCTAATCCAGCGTTTGTGACTGGAGCAGCTGCTCTAAGATGAGAACGACAACAACAACATTGTTGCTGTTGAATCAAAGTTCAGGTGGTCATTGATTAATTCAAGTGTTTTTCTTTTCTTCAGGCAACATCAAGTATGGCTGTCCTGGAGTGAACCAGTGTGAGATCACCAAGCACAGGAGGAAAAGCTGTCAGGCCTGTCGTTTCCAGAAGTGTCTGCAGGCTGGCATGATGAAAGAAGGTAAGGTCCGAAAATCCAGAAACACGTTTCATCATCACACAGATCCAGAAATATACAAAGCCAAGAATTACATCAGAGAGACGTGTCTGATAAATAGTCTAATTATCTTCTTCATTCACTGGTATTTTCTGAACAGTTTGGGTCTGAGCTGCTGGGTTTTAATGTAGGTCAGACTGGTGGGACTGGGAGAGAACGGTACTTGCAGTAACTAGCTGGAGGACTATTGGTTTTCTGCTGCAGGTGTTCGTAGAGACCATGTGAGAGGAGGACGTCAGAAGTACAAGTTCTGTACTGAGACAGGACCCAGGGGGTCAAGTGCCTCCGGGAGCAGCAGTGAGTCCACAAAAATATGACTGTCAGGTCCCACACACGCCACCTTGTGGTCATTGCTTCATCATTTGTGTTTCAGGGAACAAGGTCATCTCCCATTTGCTGCTGACAGAGCCCGCCCCCCTTACAGCCAATCATGATGACTCAACTCATGACATCAGCCTGAGCGCGCTGCTGACCCTGGGTGATCTTCTGAATCGAGAGCTGCTGCTTCTGATTGGCTGGGCCAAACTGATCCCAGGTACACGCTCAGAGACTAACGTCTTTACAGATGCTAACGAATCTAAGTGACACCATTTCTTCCCGCCACCCAGGTTTCTCCTCGCTCTCATTGGCTGATCAGATTTCACTGATACAGAATGGCTGGATGGAGGCGCTGCTAGTGGGTGTGGTCTGGAGGTCACTCGCCACAGAGGGGGAGGAGCTTATCTTTGCTGAGAATCTGCGTCTGGATAAACATCAGTGTCAAGCCGTGGGACTAGGTGGTCTTTATGAGGTGCTACGCCACCTGGTGGTAAAATACCAGGTGTTGAACCTGAGCCCTGAGGAGGCAGTGATAATGAAGGCCATGGTGCTTGGAAATGCAGGTAAATGAAGTGTTTGGTCTCTGAAGTCAATGACCCGACAGCAGCAGGTATTGATTGTTTGCAAGCTGTGGGTCCTGAAGCATCAGTGTATTGATTAGCTCTGTTATAAAAAGACATAACACTAACAATGCTAATAGCATTAACAGTTGGATGGACAGCTGCTGAGCTTCACCATATGAATGTACTTATTAGACACCTTGGCAGAGGCAGTGCATGATGGGATGCTGGGTCTGGTAATCTTCCCACTGCCTGAGCCTACGATCAATAATAGTATTGATAAACAGCTTTCGATCAATATCTCTGACAAAGAAGACAACGATCTGTTGTGTTTTTATTGGACTGCCCTGACTCTAAGCACCCTGTGTTCTGTGGTCCCACAGACACTCTAGAGCTGTACAACCAGGGGCCCAGGGACCAAAACTGGGTCAAAAAAGCTTTGCATTTGCCTCACCAACTATGACCCTCACATTTTGACTCCACTGCTAAAACATATGTAAACGTTAACAAAGAATTGCTCCTCACTTTGATAATATCCATCCATCCATTCATTTTTATCCACTAATCTGTTACCAGGTCGTGGGGGCAGCAGTCTCCATGACCGCCACCCAAATCACACTGCACCGCACCAACCCACCTGAACCTTCCTGCAGGTGGTGAGTCCACTGGAAGGTACCAACCGCCCTAACTGGGATTCGATCTTGCCCAGGAGGTGAACCCTGGGGTTACACACCAATGACAGAGACATTGCCTCTGGGCCAAAGTGCCACACTTTGATAATAATAAAGAACTAAAACTTATATAATATTATGAAAACAACTGGAAGTTAGTACAAACATTTTTAAAAAGCGTATTCAAAAAGATAACATTTTGCTCATTAGCCAAATATATGGGTAACAAATAGCTAACAATTAGCCTACTTAGATTTCCTGTGTTTGTGTACATGAACTGGTAATCAAAAATGTTAAATTTGATATGACCTACACCAGAGTTTGTTGTTTCTCCTTACTTCTCAGACACTGATTCCATCGACTGTCCTGACACGGTGCAGAGTTTTCTGGACGGCCTCCATGAAGCCCTGCAGGAGTACGAGTCATGTCATGGAGAGCGCCATCGTGTGGGCCGCCTGCTGATGAGCCTCCCTCTGCTGCGTCAGGCAGCAGACACAGTCATTCAGGTGTTCTTACGCCTGCACCACCATCACCATGTCCCTCTCCACAAACTGCTGCTGGAGATGATTGAAGCCAAGACCTGAAGGCCTTCTAACAACAGTATGACATGTTCTCTGATCTGGGTATAATAAGACTATATTCAGAAAATCCTTTAAAAGCAAGTATAAATAAGTATTCGTTGGCAATTCACTCTGTTTTTCATTTATAAGAAAAATGATCTGAAAAAGAAAATATTTGAAAATAATGTTTGAGTCACAACTCTAAATACTCATTACTAGGGTATAATGGCAAAACATATTCAACTCTAAATCCTCATTATTACTAGGGTATAATGGCAAAACATATTTGTTATTTTTTATTATTTGGACAAGAAAAAATACTGGACTGACCTGTTGTTGAGACTTTAGATTCAGTATCATATCATTCCATATTCATGCTCTGTTTCCACAAAATCACAACAGAAGACATTTACCAACTACTCAGAGATAAAGAGTTTTCCTGTAAAAATCTTCAGCCTCAGCTATGGAACAAAAATGTAAATTGTTTGTCATTGTTTTTAATTACACCAGAACAAAGTCACTCACACAAACTGACTCTGAATAAAATAAAAGACTGGAAAACTAGTAAAGGATGAATTAAACATCTAAACAAATTCAACGAGGTCAAAGTTGTCAACACAAGTTGAAACTCACCTGGTTCGTGTGACAGCTCCAACATCAGTGACTTCAACAGAGTTCGGCAAGAAGACCGTTCCTCCAACAGATATCGTCTGATCTCTGACTGCCCTCTGGTGGTCACTAAAAATAGTTAAAGGCTACAAAAGGAGTAATAGGATCCAAGATAACCGGAAGCACAGATAGATGACAACAGGAAGTAGATTCAGAAGACAACAGGAAGTTGAGTCAGGAGACAATATGCAGCTTTTGCATGATTCAGTGTAACATATTCAGGGGTGGGTTCCTGCTCAGTCTCTCCATCAGTCTACGGGTCGTTGGCCCCTGATTTAAAGAACACTTCTTTTCACACCAATTGACAAAATGAGAATTTTATTCTGACAAAATCTTGTGAAACCAGCTGTTTAGAAAACACATGACAGGTTAACAGTTTCTTAATGAATGTCATCTGAATCTAAAAACTAAATTATTTTTTTGATTATTTCTGTGTTTTAGAAAAGGTTTAGACTTTGTAGTGTTGGATGAGTGAGTGTTAAATTTTAATACCCAGACTAATGACCACAGTGTTTGTTTTGCTCACAGTGTGATTCCCTCAAACAAACACAGACATTAAACAGAAAAACGTCAACAGTTGAAACAGATATAAAACCATGAAGAAGAGTGAAGTGCAGTTAAATCAGTGATTATCATATTTACCTGAAGTCAGTACCTGGCGACTGAGAACTGTTCTCTGTTGGTGCCTCCTTCTCACATGACGTCAGATCCAGTGACGTTACACGCTGCGTTTAAGTGAGTCAGTAAATTATAGCTCTTTTCATGTGGGCATTTAATCAATACAACTGATTAAAAAAGTCATGATGTCAGTCTATTTTGTACCATGTTGATCAACAAGAGCCTGGAAATTTTACTATTTAATATAAAGGTTTGTGGTGATTTCTGATGGACCAATCAAAAGCTGGTTTCATTCATGTGTGGTTTGGGGCTGGTTGCTGGTGTGGCAGCAGCAGCAGCAGCAGCACTAGGAGCAGGGCTGTCTGAACCTGGACTACCTTCAGGTGACTCTGGGACGTCAGAGGGTGAAGAGGCAACGATACGTCGTGGTGAGGCTGCGGTCTGGGATCTCGTTGGACTCACCGCTGTGGGTGTGGGGCTAGATGGTGAAGGAGACCCTTGTTTACGATGTGTAGAAGAAGAGGATGAAGGAGGAGGTGATAGTGATGATCCAGGTGATGGACAAGCACTGGGGGTCACAGAGAAAGTGGTGGGTGTCCTGATACCAAACCTGGCTTCTAACTCGCTGCACACAGCTAAGCTCCGCCGGACCCCCTCAGAACCCGACAAAGACCCAAACCCTGAGCAGCCAGCAGCCTCAGAACCTTTAGCCAGTTCTTGGCAGCGTTCAACAAAGCTGCCCCGGCGCACTGGTCCCCACTCTTTGTCACGCTCTGAGTGTCTCTGTGGGCGGGGACTGGAGGTGAAACTGTGAGTGTGGGCAGGACTAGGAGCAGCAAATGTCAGTGGTCCGGCTGCTGGTGAAAGTCTGGGATCTCTGACAGGTTTACCATGTGGTAGAGAGGGAGCGGTTTGTCTGGAGAGGCTGCCGCGCAGTGAGGCTGCTGAGCCTAAAGCTGCTCCTCCACCTCCTGTTCCTCCTCCTACGCCTCGACCTCCCACAGTGTTGGGACGATCAGGCCTGAAGGCATCACCCAGCTGAGAGTAAAGACTAGAGGAAGAGGAAGTGACATGTGAACAACTACAGCATCAGTTCTGTAGCTTTTTCATTTTCAGTCCTACAACATTCTGTAGGTGTGTACCTGCAGGTGGAGGTTCTGGGTGTACTGTCGGGTGTTCTGGTCAGGGCCAGGTCACACTGGTCCAGTAACTCCAGCAATTCTTCTTCTGTTGGTCCTCCCAGTGCTGTCAAACAACCAATCAGAACCAACATCACTGACTGACAGAACCAGACCAGTACTGGATGGACAAATCAGATTTAAAAATAAAAAAGGTATCTGACCTTTGATGTCCACTTTTCCTGCGATCTCCATGGCAGTGGTCAGGTCCCACATCTGGATGCTACCGTTACTGTGGCCACTGAACAGGTAACGACGCGGTCTGGAGCCGATGCGGCTGGAGCCCTCACACTCATGGACCATGAAGGAAGTGATGGAGGTGCCGTCCACCGAACGCACCTCACACACCCTGACGTACACACACAGACTTAAATATATTGCTGAGGAAACATCTGAGTGAAGAAATGATGGAGGAGGAGACCACATTGATTGGCTCATTCTTTAAATGTTCTGATATCAGTTGTGATAAGATCATAGTTTGCATGTCAAAGAGTTGTCCCTCACCTCTTTCCGTTGGATGACAACCTGACGTACAGTTTGTCAGTGTCTGGTACAACTCTCTGGATGAAAACCTGTTGGTCATCTCTCTCTCCATAAGGACCTGGGATAAAAACAGACAACAGCTAAACTCTGAGATTACTGTCCAAAAACCTGGAGACGTCTCAGCTCAGTAGTGATTGTTACCAATCTCTGTCCCAGCGCTGCAGCCTCCGTGTCCATCGATGTCCTCAAGGCTGAGGATTTTGAAGGAGGTGAGGGGCGTAGATCCTGGCTGGGTGGAGATCATCCCTCTGAACCTTGTCACCGTCCAAGTCCTCACATGGTTGTTGTCTGCACAAACTGAAACAACGACAGAAGACGGGACAATGAAGAAAAAAAAAGGGGAAATAATCATTGACTTGTCAGACACTGACCAACAGAACCAACCTGAAATGAGGTGTTTCTCTGACAGCATGATCTTAGTGACAGGGCTGCGGTGGACAGAGAAGGTCTGGAAGAGCTGAGGCCCAGAGCCCACCGTCTCTGGATGCTGAACAATTACCCGAACTGTCCCAGAGCTGGTTCCGTATGCGATCTCAATCCAGTTACCACTGTCGCCTGATTATAAAGAATAGTGTTAGATAACTGCACACTTTTATATTCTTACTCAGTTTGTCTGTTTAATAAGCTGCTGCCTGTCACTGCCAAGACATTTTCTTAAATACATTTAGGTGATGATATTTATTTGTGGTTTTCAGCATCAGCCCTAGAAGCTGTTAAAGGTGAAGTTGCCCCCCTGTGGCCAGAAATCAGGCCCTATGTACAGACTGAACACGTGTTGCCCCGAGGAGTGAGGAACAGCCTTCAGCATCCATCTGTCCTCAGTCTGTGACATAGATGTTGAAAAATGAAATATTGCTGAGAATCAAGAACTGTTGCCCAGTACAGTTTTTAATCATCTAAACTATGCTGGGCAGTGGGCAGTGGTGGCTTAGTGGTTAAGGAAGCAGACTTGGGTCCGCAAGCTCCGTCCCCACACACTGCTCCCCGGGCACTTAAAGCTGCCCCCTGCTGACTTTGGTGATGGGTTAAAAGCAGAGGTCACATTCCGTTGTGTGTGCAATGGTGTGTCACAATGACAAATAATTCACTTTCGTACTGGTTTTTGTGTGCTGCTTACTGGTCTTGGGTGTGAGGTAGACACTGAGCGCAGTGATGGCGTCTTCAGTAGGGTCTCTGTACAGTTCTGTCACCAGCAGGTCATTGTCTTTCATCCTCAGAGGAAACTTTTGGACATCTGAAAACAACAACCACACGTATACATACTGTATACACACATATAGCCCTCATCTTGTCCTTCGGGACCCGGAGGGCCACCTGGACCCCATGTGCTTTTGTATGTGTGCGTGTGCATGCTCCTGTACTGCACGGCTTATGCCAACTTTTCCTCATATTCATTCATACTCATATTCTGGTAACATAAAGTGAGTACAAACTTGGTAATAAGATCATTATAATGTGTGATGTGTTTCTTACCAATGTAGTAGATGGACCCGTTGTTGCAGCCCAAAATCAGGAAGGAGCCAGCTGTGTCATAACTGCTGATTGGAACCACATCCTGGTTCTACACATGCACAAAAAGAGTTAAAGTCAAATTTGACAGGGCTGACGCCCATCCAGCTGGGAAATATGTGTCCTGATCCTCAGATAAAACAGAACCTTCTTCAGTCCTCACTCTCAAGTGTTGACAGATAAGAAAGTTGTTTTTTTAAACTTTTAGCTTTTAACAGATACATCTGATACATCATCAGCCATGTGTTTTAACTTCACTTTAAAAACACAGAGGGCTACCGTCAAAACACAGGAGCAACATTTTATAACAAACCACAAACATAATGGGAAATTATGGGTTATTCTCAAAAACAATTATTGTCATTGTCTTGATTGTTGACATAACAAGATATTTGTAAAAAAAAAAAAAAAAAAAAATTATTATTTTTACTAATTAATTCCAAATTTGTATATATATTTGTATTAATTACAAATTTGTATAAAAATGCATTTCTATTAAATACAAAATGTACATTTAAGACAGTTAAAAATGTGAGATTAATGCAGTTTAAAATATTTTAATTTCATGAAAGTCTCCATTCTCACTCCTTGGTAATTAATTTTTACATCTTCATATCACAGCCTGCATTATTATTATTTAAGTCAGTATTACTGAAAAGTACTGGACATAAGTTGTTTGTTCTCTATTTTGTACATTTTTGTAGTGTTTCCCATTAGTAACTGAAAGAAAAACTCTGAACTTATCACAAAGGAATTTATATTTGTTGTGCATCAGCTGATCAAACCACTATACCTATGTACCAGTCGAAATAACAGAAGCCTGGAAATTGACTCTGAACTCAGTACTGCCCCCTAGGGGATGCCTTGCTTAACAATCATGCCAACATAACTCAGGCCTTAAAGATTGTGAAAACACATGTACTTGCTTATGAGGGTAAAGGAGTCAGAGATGAGGCTTATTCTTATTTTTCTGACCTGCCAGTGTTTCGTGACAGCGTTCCAAACTCCAACCTTCCCAGTGTGACTGGTGGCTATCAGCTGGTTACCCACAAAGAACAGAGCCTCTACTGGGACGTTGAGGCTAAAGACACCTGCAGGATGGATTTAGAACTTGAGCAAATTGGACACAGAGGTAAAATAGCATAAACTTGTCACAGTCCTGGACAAACCAATTTCATTTCCATTGCCGTCAGGACAGATGGACCACAGTATGATTTCTGTCCCTGAGGCCACAGCCACCATCTTATCGTTGTCTCCCAGAGAGCCCCCCATCACTTTAGCATTGAGGGCCACCCTGTCGATCACCCAGTCCAGACGGGGAGAGGTGAAGACCTGCTGCCATCCTGTGGACTCCTTCACCCTGACACAGAGAAGAAGGCAAGGGTTAAAGACTTCTCTCTCTGCAGCTGTCATATGTACATCAGGTCTGATCAATTACAGTTTAAAATTCAAACTAAGTAATCAGAAAAAGGTTGGACGTTTGTTAATTCAAAATACGTTGACTAATAGCCTGAAGGTTTGTCATCTATGAAAACAACTTGTTTAAAGAAATACAATCTGGAGCTGTGACACTTCTTTAGATTCTTTGTTCCTCTGACAGTCAGTTGAAAGTCTACAGTCTTTTTCAGCACATTTTTGTGAATCACTAAACAAACATTTTGGGCATTTGATTGATAACTTAATAAATAAAATAAGAATACTCAATTATAGTTCTACATGTTTAACATTACAGCAACAAAGCACAGGTTGAGAAAAACTCAAAAGACACTACACATGTCCAAAAGTTAAAAAGTTGATTTTAATTTTAAACTGTAATGAATATTTGTCCAATGTAATATAAAAAAATACTAGGCCCGATATTAGCATAATTATGTAATATCACTAATAATCGTTGTCGTTTTTTTCCCTCCCAAAACCTGATAGTGCACTGCCTGGGTTTCGCCAAATGATGCAGCTCATTTAATTAATCTATTTTAATAATCAGCTGATTGTATGCAGTGTATGCAATTCATATCGTGGTTTGTACAGATAAATAAATAAGTATTGCCAGGCCTATATCAGTAATGATTTATATTGGAATTGGAAATTAGGTGTTTGAACATCATAGTAATATCAGATATTTGCAAAAAGTTAATATCAGACATCCGTAAAAAATACAAAATTCAGCATCACACAACAGGATAGACATTTTATAATGTTATATACACATACATGTTGGAATATCCTCACAACTGAAGGCACACAACAACCAACAACACACCAACTTCAACAACAGACAAACCAACCACAACAAACAGGAAGCAGTAAAAACTCATCCACTACAGCGGTGTGTTCACCTGTAGCAGACCACGAACTGAGCGTACGCTACGGCGATCCAGTTGTGATGACCACAGACGATGCGCACCATCCCAGAATCTGAAGACTGACCTACTCACGTGCACACACAAACACACAGTTTACTGTGACATTTCATAACAGGACACTAATTTAGGACAACATAGATTAGATAAGATATTACAGGATGTTTTTGACGTGTGTGTTAATGGGTGAAAGTCCCACAAACAAAAAAAAAATGAACATTACCCACAGCATGAAGACACAACAATTTTGATCATTAATTGATTTTATCATGAACTGTTTTTTTTACTGCCTACTGTATATTTGTTCTGATCACATTGTACCACAAGGGTGAGTAGGTCAATTCCTGCTCTTGGTACAAGAGAGTACTTGGTGTGTGTGTGTGTGTGTGTGTGTGTACCTGTAGAGGGCCTCTCTTCAATACCAGCTCTACTCAGTATTCCAGAGTTCCCCAGGTTGGGTGGCATAGTGTTACTGCGTCTGACTGGAGCTCTCTCTGTGGGTACAACTCGTCCGCCCATGAACTGTGACCCTGCCACACTGTGGCGGTTTCGGCGTTTCGCTGGGTAAACTGCGTAATGCAGACAGGAAGCAAGGCAAAAGGTTTGAAAAAGGTCTTTAACTGCTTAGGGTTTGAGACAAAAAATTACAAGTTTGATTTCATAAATAAAGTGCCAAACCTGGTGGAGGTAGGTAACCATTGAACAGCACATTTCCACAGGAAGATCGGTCCAGTTCGTCACACAACTGCAGCTTTCGTACTAAAACAAATAGTTAAACACATTAAAACATCTAAAAATAAGAATTACATTTGGCCTTCCACTGGTCAGCACGATGATTTGAGAGGTATTTGACCCAGAACCTTCTGGGTGGCTGTCTACCCCGGGTAAAATATAGTGTTGTATTTGTATATATCTTTATCATAGTAGTCCTGAGATATTTGTTTAAATTTTGAATGGATTACATGATAATATTATATTACTTATTATATAAAAGTTGCAGAAGTAGTGCATCAATACTGCAAAAACTACTGCTATACATTTTCATCAATATATTTTTCAGATTAAAATTTTAATTAACCAAGGTTGGTAAGGACATTAGAGTGCAACATCATAAATATAATACATATAATAAATATTGAACAACACATATTGATAGCCTTTACCTTTTATATTTAACTTTAAATTAAATGATACATGGAAGGGGTCTCAGTGTCTTACCCAGTGGCGTGATGCCATAGAATTCTGCCTCATGCATGAGCATGTGCACGTTGATGGAGCTTGGATGTAACTCTTTCGTCCGCAGATAGTTGAGGATGGGTGCAAACAAAGAAGGGTCTCTGTCGATAAAGATCTACAGAGACAGAAGTGGGTCAAAGGGACTGTTTTTGGTCAACTCCAGGTGCCTAGGTTAAAGTAAAGTACTTACTGCTCCAGTTTCATCCTTCAGAGTGGAGATGCGTCCACTCAGAAGACTGAAGAGAAAAAACACAATTTTTGTTTACAGGTAAAACCCTTTAGTATAAAACATAAAACAACAGAAAATAAACAGACAAGGGCAACAAGGTTTGGTAGAATAAAACAAAAAGGAACAGCAGCTATAAATGTATTGTTTTTATCAATTTTAATTGTAACAATCAGGTATTTCTGTCATAGCTGCAGATCTTCAGTAAGATGTTTCTTGTACAGTGTGATTTTTGTTAGTTTCACATTGTTTCAAATCCGCTGATATAAATAATACAGAATATCAGCAGACAATTTCTATAAAAACAGACAAACAATGAACTTTAAGTTAAATATGGGAAATTTAAGAAAGGTGGTGTAGATATCTGAAACCAACCTGGAGAAGAACGAGTCAGCGACCCACGTGAGAGTCTGTCTGGAGGTGCTGAACCTGGAGAAACAATCAAGGGTAACGTTTTATTTTTACCACACTATTATAATATTTTATATTTCATTATTTAGATCCTGGTGACTCTTGAAACAAACACCTGCTTCATTTTTATATGTCTAATTTTTCCTCTCCCCTGATACAAAAAACATTGTGGAAAAAAACTTGTTCATTCCCACTCCCACCAGACTCCTAAACAGCTGACAGGAGTCTAACCATGGACTTGGTCACATCCATCACCACCTCATTGAACTGTAATTGACTGTTTGCCCGTGTCATGCTGAGCACTGCACACACAGCTGCTGTTGTTGTTGGCCCCAATTTGCACATATCTGTTTTTGTAGTTATATTAGTGCACTACTTTTTCACATGCTGTGTTTAAATAACATTGTTTTTTCTTTATCTATTCCCCGAGTCTGATTGTTGGGGATTGGGGGAAATTGTTTCTTTACGTGTGACAATTTAGTTTCCTCCATTGCTAAACGCTTGAGTTTAATACAATTCCAGCTCAATATACCTCAGTTGTTTTATAATGAGATATGTGACTAAGCTGTGCCGTGTGAAACAAAGCTACAGAACAACAAACACAGAACAACACTTTAATATGTCTATTATTCGTTTGGGCAATCGTTCAGCTGTTCATTTGTAAAACATTAAATACTTTTGAATGTTTTTAAAAACATTTTACTGGAAGCAAAAACGCTGTTCTGTTGAGCTGGTGGAGGGACACTGAACTGTCCGATAACGGATGCCCTCTGTTGAGCCGTGTTCCAAGTAGCGAGCTCAGGGTTTAGCCGACACTACCCGAACTAATCTAGTTCCTTCCTGCGGTTTTTCTCACCTCTTTCCGCCGACGTTCAGGTGAATAATATCCCCACTCCGTGCCATTTTGGACATCATATGACGAGTCTCCACAATAAAAACAACACACTTTTCAATCCATTTTTATCACCTTAACAATAAACTCCAGCTTCCGTTATGATTTTCAAGCTAACTTCCTGTCGCGCTATAAAGCGGAAGTAAAACCTGCGGTGGATTCACTGGACCAGGAAGTAAAAAAAAAAAACCAACAAAAAACACGAAAAGAAAACAAGGACCGGTATTTCTGAGGGGGCGTATCTTAAAGGGAATTGTGCGATATATATTTTTTCAAAAAGTGAACAACGGAGCAGTATAAAATTAGTCAAACATATATGCTAGGGTAAAGAAGATTACAAATGGATAACTTGATGAATAAATAAAAGATAAAAACTAATCTTTTTGATGATTTATTTGTTAGCATTGTATTTATAGATGGACATTATTCTAAACTTCTCCACCTAAATATCACAGTTAACATTTCTGTATAGATCCTTTCACATCATGTTTTTCAGATTTAATTTTAACCGTTATGACAACATTATTTTAGAAAAGCAGAAGTGAGTCAAATGTGAAACAATGCTGTGAATGCAGCAGAAGAATAAGCAGAGGTAGTGACGTCAGCAGCAGGAGAAGCAGAAGCAGCAGGAAAGGCAGGAGGAGCAGGGTTGCCTTCAACAGATGTGCAGATATTGTTTTAGCAGAGAAGAACAAAGATGCTTCACTTCCTCCTCTACTGTCACTACTATCACAAATCTTCCTCTAACTCTGCTGGATTCCACTTCTTGCCATTCTCTTTTATACCCCACACCCCTCAAACACACATGCACACACACACACACACTAGTAGACAGTGCATTATGCACAAAACATACTTATCAGTGACTGTCAGATACTGAGGAACATAGTGATGTAAATTAATAAAAAATAAAATTCAGGCTTGCTATTAAATAGCAAAACAACTCAATAACAGTGTCTTCTTTAACTGGGGTTATGTACTGTATCTTTCTGATCTTCTTCCTGTGATAAAAGAAACCATAAACCTGAATTATCCCCTCAATCAGTGTCAGAGAGGAAGAGGCGGGTGAGGATGGAGCTGTAAGCTAAAAATATGAAGCTACTTAAAAAAAAAAGAGAGAGAGAGTCAGAATTAGAGTCTATCCCGTATCCTGTTATCTGTCCCTGAGACAGAAGGCATGTGTGGACAGGTGGACACCTGTCTGTCCGTTATACAACTGATGTCCAAGAGGCCTAATGAAGAATGACCTTTAGAATACACAACAATTGACTGTAAAAAATTAAACTACATCCATCCATCCCCCCATCCATCCACCCATCCATCCAATGAGCCTTAGCTCAAAGTTTAACAGCTAATGCAGAGCTCATTTTAAGGTCAATAGTTTTTTTTGTGTGTGTGTGGTGTTTTATCTTCTGTGTTTCAGTGTTTTTCTCTCTCTGATTCACCCTCAGTTGCTTACTGAGGTTTTTGTTTTTTTGGTGTGTGTGTGGTGTTTTATCTTCTGTGTTTCAGTGTTTTTCTCTCTCTGATTCACCCTCAGTTGCTTACTGAGGTTTTTGTTTTTTTTGTTTTGTTTTTTTTGCAAATGTAATTAGTCCCGTGCTTACACAGCGTGTGGGTGCAACACAGTGTTGGTAGTAGTGAGGGACAACTGAGGAGGTGGAGGGACAAAGGGAGGGACAATGAGACAGGAAGTGACTCCTTCAGACTTATAACAGACTGACGGACTGACTTCACTCACATTTCAATGAAGCTGAAGACCACATGTGGAAACTGACTGAACATTTGTCTGTGAATGTGGTGAGTCAGCTCTTTCATCTGTTTGTGGCTTAATTTTGAATCTGTCAGTGAAAGGAAGACAAATGGAAAATGATAATAATAACAATAATTATAATAATAACAATAGTAATAAAGACACTAATAATAATAATGCTGATATAATTATCATCATTCTAACACTATTTTCAAAAGGTTCAGACTCAGTGATGAAATTTTAGACCAGAGATATCATGAATAAATCACTCTCAGGTTTTTTGTATTGACTGTCCTGCTATATCTGTCCCTAGTTTCCATTTAGTATTTTTTTAGTATTTTTTATTATTCATCTTTCAAAAGTTGTTACTAATGCTAGAGTCAGTATTTTATGGACGTTAGATCTGCATTCATAGAGGATGTTGTCCAGTCACATGAAAATGTTTGTTCATGTTCATCTCTGTGTCGGTCCAGATAGATAAATAGAACTTTATTGGTCCCTCGGGAGTTCCCTTTGGGAAATTAAGTAATATGATTAAAACATCCAAACTTTTAGTCTTGTGTATGTGACAATAACATCTAACAATAACAACTGACAACTGACAATAACAATAACAGAGATGGAGTCAGTTGGCATGTGTTCCTTTTTTTTTCATTATCAGAGAGGACCTTTATATACTTGGACCTCACAGTCGACCGGACCACACAGACAACTCCAGACGAGTATAAAGACACAGAAACAGATGACAAAGCTGACTGAGAGTAGAGGTTTTGTTTTATACCAGATGCTCACATTAACCAACATTGATGAAGAAATAGTGATTTGTTCTATGAATGTTACTTAATAAGCCCATGGATAAATGTTTACTTTTATTTTTAAGGATTTACAGAATCCAAATAGTCTAAACATCTGGCATGAAAAGATTTACACCACAAAGGAAGTGTCCGTGGTTATAAGACACGATCATGGTCGTTTATTTAGACTAATATGCTCTCTATAAAGAGATTTTTTTTAAATTCCAGAATAGTTTTTATTTGCAGTACATGTCTCAGCTCTAACATGTCATCTGCCAGAATTGTTGAGGGAACAGACTTCGGTTCAGGATGTAAACCACATATGTCAAACTCAAAGCCTGTGCGCCCGAATTCACCCCTCCCACGTCAGTTTTTGTGGTTTAAACTAGCATAACATGCATATGTTTGAATCTATAGAATAGAGTCTGTACTGATGTTTACTGGATGTGTTTAATGCAGCGGTGAAACTCTGTCCATATGCATGGTGAATCCTTTGGAATTGTAATTCTGATTCAAACTCTGAGGTGTAGCAGAGAGGGCAAAAAACATCTCCGGTGGCCTCGTCCTCCTCTGTCACTGAAAGTGTCCTGTTTGTCTAAAGGTGGACAAAGGAGTCTGAGTGTGTGTTGGACTGAGATGAATCAGGAGCAGAATGCATGTGTGTGTGTTTGTGTGTAAGCAGCTAAAACAAACAGTAAAGATGCTGCTGCTGTGTTCCTGCACCCACCTCACTGTAAACAGTTCACTGCACGTTCACAGCATGAAGTTGAAAAGATCCTGTGAGGAGGAGATGAGGAAGTTCTGCTGAGCACGAATCTTGAAAGACACTAAAAAGAGACTGTTGAATGGGCGTGGGGGGCAGAGGGAAACACTGCTACGGCTACAACATTAACAGCCATTTAACTAACTGTTGTTGTTGCACATCTTATTTTTTTAAAGAACCTTGGGTCATTCTTATCTAATTTAGGCACAATTTTAACAACCATTTACCTAACATTAGTCATTTCAGCAAACCTTTAGATCAGGGGTGTCAAACTCAAATTTACAGTTGGCCAAAAATTAAAAACTGTAGTCTTTCCAGGTCTTTTTTAATGTAAATCTTTCTTTCACAGACCAACAACAAAAATAAAAACAAAATGTATGTGTTATAACATAGTGCTTACACTACAAATCCTGCCAATATACAGGGGCTATAAACTGGTGGGCTAAGGGACAGATTTGGCCCCCGGGCCTGTGTTTGACGCATGTGCTTTAGATATTTACCTTTATATTGGTTTATACCATTTCAACGGTATTAATTGCGCTTTCTATCTTACAAACTATTTATCTAAGAGCTGGTAACATTATTGAGTCTTTTTTTTTCTAGGGATGGATCTCCTCAACTCCACCCACCTGTCTACCAACAAATCAGATTTCAGCAGCACCTTCACCCGGCAGCTGCTCCCCCCACTTTATTTTGTCGCCTGCATCGTTGGCCTGGGCCTGAATGGTGTGGCAGCCTGGATCTTCTTCAGAGTTCCCAGTGACTCAGGTCTGGTGGTCTACCTAAAGAATATGGTGGTCGCCGACCTTCTCATGCTCTCCACCTTTCCTTTCAAGCTAGCGTCACAGCTTGGTTTGGGTGGTTGGCGCCTCCATGTGGTCATTTGCCGCTACATTGCAGTGCTCTTCTACACATCCATGTATGTGGGGATAGTGTTCATGGGCATCATCAGCCTTGAACGTTACTTTAAGATTGTGCGTAACAGCACTTCATCCTCATCCAGGTTGGGGGGGCTGTCTGCCCTGCACCTCCTGCAAAGTGTTGGCTTTGCCCGGGTCTCGGCGCTCCTAACCTGGTGCCTGCTCCTCTTCTGTGCCTTACCCAACATTATACTGACTAGCCAGCCAGCCAATGAAGAGAACGCCCGCCACTGCATGCAGCTAAAAACCCCCCTGGGGGTGCAGTGGCACCGGGTTTCCACACTGTTCATTGTGGCCCTGTTCTGGTTGACCCTGCTGGTTCTGGCCTTCTGCTACTCCTCTATCGCCCATCTGATTTACCAGACGTATCGTCGCATGAAGCACAATAACAGCTCCATCTGCCGTAAATCCAACAGCAGAATCTTCAGCATCTTGGCCGTGTTCTTCATCTGCTTCGTACCGTATCACGTCTGCCGTATACCGTACACCCTGAGCCAAATGCCAGGCTCAGGATTCTCCCAGGACTCCCGAGTTCTGCTGTTCCAGCTAAAGGAGGGAACACTGTTCCTGTCAGCCCTCAATGTCTGTCTGGACCCTGTCATCTACATCCTTATGTGTCGCAAATTCAGGGACTCACTGCTGAACAAACTGCCAGGGCAAAACAGAAGAAGGTCCCTGACTGGAGCCCAGAGCCTGAGCAACATTTAGAGGAGAGGAAATGAGGTGACACGGGGGTGGGGTGGGGGGGTTTGAGGAGACAGGGTAAAAAAGAGGGGATGAAAAATAGGAGCAATGCTTGACAGGGAGTGAAACACTTGAGCTGTAGTGAAGGCCAAGTGCAGTGAGCACAGAGCAGCCCACGAGTGATTGAATGATCCCATTCTGGGCTCTTTGTTAGACACTAGGCAGCGATGTATGAAGATTGATACACAAGTGCTCGACTCGGTTTGCTGGATCATCAAACCGATTGATATTATACTCCAGCCGAGGACGCTGCAGAATTTAGAACGTCGCAAGGACTCTATTAGAGATGTGAGAGAGAGGACAAGAGGAAGTGAGTAGTATCAAATAAGACAAAAAGGTGAAAAAGGTAGAGACAGGAAGAAGACAAGGATGACAAAAAATGAAACCAGAGAGAAGAAGCTCTGCCACCTGGGACAGAAACCTGTTGTCTTTATAAACAGGAGTTTTCTTTTAAGCAGTTGTATTGTAATGGACAGTTTAATGTGAAACATCAACTTGACTCAGATGCTGTCTGTGGTGTGATCTTCACATGCTGGAGTGGAAGTGAAACTAGATTGTGATGATGTGCATTCTTCCTAAGAACCAGACTCCACTTCTGCACCTGTGCTGCACCACACTGGCCGGCAGAGTTTAAATACATTCACCGTTGTTGGTTTTGTGACTGAGGAAAGTCCTGCAATGGGTTCTTGTCAGTGCAGAAAAAAATGCATATAAAATTCATTGTCAGTTCAAATTTGATGTCTTTTTAAATCTTAGACAGGGTGAAGCCAAAACCTCAGAACTTTCGAAGAGTCAGAGAGGAGAAGTTCTCTCACAGATATGCTTTAGTGCCAAGGTTTTTAACTCTTTTCACTGATGTCGACCCTGTGAAAAGCTTGTTTGAAAAAAAAAAAGATTTATGATTCATTGTGACAAATCACAGAGAACCATTGCTTGATTTTTCCTCCGTAACTGTGAAGAGTAGAAGGGATTTGAAAGTGAAGTCTGACGTCACTTTTTCTGACCAGTACCTGTTCAATCTTGAACTGTGACCAGTGTTTTCCTGGGCCCCTCGTTGGTAGATTGGTTTTATGTAAAGGGATCAACTGAGAAAATTGGGTTAATAAAGCTCAGGGCCTGGACATGGATTTCATAAATTTCACCACTAGATGCCACTAAAGCCTACAAACGTGTAGACTGCTGAAGTTTTACAATAGGAAGAATAGGAAGAGTCTGAGCCTGAACTACACGATGAGCACTGGCCCCTCCTCCACTGTGATGTAATCAAATATATACTATAAGTATTTTTTTTTATTAGACAAATAGATGCTTTAGATTCAGGAAGAATTTGTTTGATTGGTTGTTGATTTTTTACTTTGTTATTTTAACTTTGTACATTGATGTTGGATTGTAATTTAAATTTTTTCTATTGCACATGTTAAATAAAAAGAGACAGAAGAAAGAAAAAAATGAACATGCAAACAAAATTCAATCAACAATTAAAATACATTAAAAATGACATCAACATTTCAGATCTGATTGGTTCAATAGGACAAGTTCAAGTCTATGAAATATAAAGTAACACAGTAAAACAGGAAAGTTAAATAAGAAATGTGGTTGTCAGTGTATTTCAGTGGTGCAGCAGCTGCAGTAACTTCCTCAACTGGGGACAAACAACAAAGTTGAAGCTGTGATAAAAATACATCGACATACGTCCACACCGTAAACTTCAATAATCTCACCGTGGGAGGTCAGCTGACGCAAACTTCGTTTCCTTGTGTCTGTGCTCATGGCCTGGTTTTAAATGACAGTTGTCACAGATCTGATCGTGCCTGTACCTCGTAGAACCTCAAACCTTAATTTAAGGCCCTAAGCCTCCTATTACTCCCTGGGACGCTGAGACCTAAAGTAAGAGCCAGTTTAATTGTACATTGACTTGGGTTTAGTTTATTTCTGTTTTAGTGTGGAATCAGGATGCTGTAAGAACTAAAGTTCTCTTTTCTTATGGACAAAGAAAGTAGGATGTGGAGTCAGGACCAGAAGTACAGGCACGGAAGAACGGGTTTGGTCCATCTCGCTGAGAATCTGAGTTTGTTCATGGCTTTTAGAAAAGTGACAACACAGTCAACAGATGCAGTCAGTCTCAGCCACAGATGATGATGGTTGATGTGGTTTTAACAAGAAAGCAGTACATGAAAGCAGACCATGCATCACTTCCACGCCCACCGCCACGAATGACAAAACAGGAGGAAGTGACAACTCTTTATTGTTAAGGACTCACAGTAACAGACGTTCACACAGGTGAGTGATGCAAGAGATTTGATCGAAAGTCACATGTCAGGCTGAACTCTTCTGTTAAAATATCCGAGAGACGAGAGCAACAGTGAGACTTCTGTTCCAACTGATTATATAACAATATCCAGGTAAAGCAAATATTCACACAACCTAACATAACGGTTGTCTTTACTCAACTTCAAAGAGATAGTGAACAGTTCAATATGAATGTGAAATTAAATTTGACATATTTGAAAAAGAAGTATGCAAAACTATGTAAAATACTGTGTCAGCATCAACATGTAGACATGCCAACTTGGTGTACTATTTTTAGATGTTTCTGCTCTTTGTTAAAAACTGGATACGCTTTTTTTCCCTTTCCAGCTTTGCTCATATTCATTTTATTGTGTGTTTCATCAGTTTATCATAAAAAAGCTGAGGTCAGAATAATTTTCTGCTTACTCATTCTTTATAGGAACATCTGCAACAAACCAATGACTGTCACCAAGTCTAAATAAGTGCATGTAGACAACTGGAGCTCTGTGGCCAAATAAAATTAACCTTTGTGCAAATGCCTTTTGTCTGTCACTTCCCTCTGAACATGAACCTCGTTCTGTCCCTTTAAATATCTGCCATCAGAGACACAGACTTCACTGGTTCACAGGTGGACGTCATTCAGCCGGTCATCCAACAAAAACAAAATGAACATCAGCAACTCCACACACTGTGATCAGGTCCAAACCTCGGGGCACATCTTCTTCATTGTCACCTACAGTCTGCTGTTTCTGGTGAGTCTCGCCGTCTCAAGTTCCCACACAGGTTCAATCCTTTGTTGGTCTTTTCTCCACTGCAAGACGATTACTGCTGTGAAAATTCTCTTTCCTGGTTGATCTTTCTGTATGGAGTTTGCATGTTATCCCGGTGCGTGCGTGGGCTCCCTCTGGGTACTGTGTCTACCTCCCACTGCCCAAAACATGCTGGACAGAGGAGTGGGTTGATCGGACACTATCATACCTTAGGTATGAATGTGAGTCCTATTGGTTGTTTGTCTCTATATGTGGCCCTGCAATGGACTGGCAAACTGTCCAGGTTGTACCCCACCCTTGCCCCATTGGCTCCAGACAATGGATGGACGGATGGACGGATGGATGGATGGATGGATGGATGGATGGATGGATGGAAGGAAGTTAATCACTGACAAACATCCAGGTTCATTCTTGACTCTTTTTCTGTCTCTGACACTGGATCAAACATATACAATTGGACCACACAGTGTTGTCCATATCCTAACGGTTCACCATACCTGCCGGAATGTCATACGCTTTCTTACTATACATGTGCACAACAGAAAAACACTTGATTGCGCCTGTAAGATTCTTGAATTGAATGATTAAATGAGCAGAAAGTGTCCTCTTTAGAGGGCCGTCTGAAACCATGTTCCGTCTGTGTGTCCTGAGCAGGTGGGTTTGCTCCTGAACGGTTTCACCATGAAGGTTTACTTTTGTGGATTCCGACAGCCAAGCCCCAGCAGTGTGACGGTCTACCTGAAGAATCTGGTGGCCGCAGACTTCCTGATCAGCCTGTGTCTTCCCTTACGCATCATCAACTTTGCCAGCAGCTCCCTGCCTGTCCGTCAGGCCTACTGCAAATTTGGTTCCTCTGCCTTTTACCTCAACATGTATGCAAGCATCCTGTTCATGGGCTACATCGCAGCAAACAGGTGGGTTACAGCAGAGAAGTGCCCGACTAATGGGCAATGAAGAAAAGAAAAGCAATAACTTTTCAGTAAAAACCTTAAAATGAGTATCCAACAATTCCGCTTATAACTCTGTGTACCTGCACATGGTAAAATATAAACCATGAGAAGAAAGTGTGCTGTGGAGACAGGATTCATGGTCTCGCCCCTCCTCTGGTCTACAGGTACCTAAAGATCGTCCATCCTCAGGGGACTCACATCTTGCAGACAGTTAAAGCTTCTCACATCATCTCCACCTCCACTTGGAGCTTCCTCCTCACCATGATGGTCACCTACATCACACTGTCAGTGCTCAGTGAGAAGTCAGTCTCCTCATTCCCTGCCACAGTGAGCTGTGAGGTTCTCCACAGTCATGTTCTCAATCTTTTCTACAAAATCATTCACGCCTGCTCTGCTGCCATCTTCCTGCTGGTTTTCTTCTCCCTGATTTTCTTCTACTACAGCACCTCCCACAGGTTATCACTGGTACAGGAGAGGCAGCCAGCATCATCCAGCTCCAAGAAACTCATCAAATCCCGCAGGAACATGTTAGTGCTGGTCACTGTCTTCTGTGTTTGCTTTGTACCTTACCATGTGGTGCGGCTGCCCTATGCCTTCCTGAGTACGAGGTGTTCATTCGGCCAGGTGTTTTTCTACCTAAAAGAGGTGACCGTCATGGTGTCCACCCTCAACATCTGCCTGGACCCCCTGATCTATTTCATCTTCTGCAGGGCCTTCAGAGCCCAGTTTAGGATGAGGAGAACTTTCAGCCGGAGTGGAAAAAAGAGCGAGGAGGCAGTGACTGTCAGGGCAGAAACAAACACCGACATGTTGTGAACATTAATGTTGTTGTTGCAGCAAATGTGGTTTTTGTGGCGCTGCTCTGTGTTTGTGTTAACCTTTTAAAGTGCGTAGCCATGTTCCTGTTAAAGTGATGATGAAGTATTTTAAAGGTAGTCAGGACCTTGTTTGTTTTAGTCACCTCAGAGGGTGACTAAAACAAAGAAGGTCCTGACTACCTTTAAAATACATCATTTATTAACCATGGTTAATTAAAAAAAAAAAATTCTACCAAAAGTAAATATTTCACACACTGATCAAATCTTTCCAATCTGTAATCATTTAATATTTTTTATAATTTGTTAAAGACTCTAAAGACAGAAAAACAAATTGAAAATGTAAATGTATAAGCTTATTGTTTAAATTGTTGATATATATTAAAATGGGATCAAATGCAATTTATTACAAATCTCCTAATTCAGTGGTTCTCAAACTGTGGTACACAGCGGTACGCGAGCGCTCTCTAGTGGTATGCGGGGGAAATTCATATTTTCACATTTACATTTTCTGAATAAATCTGAAACATACCATGATGACCCAAACCTCTCCACATTATGGACTTTAAAGTGAACAACAGCAAAACAAAAGATGGGCCTGGAGCTGTGGCGTTTAAGAGAGTTCTTACGGACAGGATAAATCTGTCAGACATATATACATGGAGCTGCCCTCTGATGCCTGTTAGAGAGGACATTCACATCACACTCACTCCATTAAACAGATTTACTCTCCTGCTACAAACGTTTGGTTACAACCTGGGCTGTTCCTCTGGACCAGGATGGTTCCTGTGTTTTCTCCTGTCACTGAGTCAGGCCTGTTGGCTCAGTCGGACCCAACACTACTCTCTGTGGATCCATTTAATAGAAAACATCTGGTCTCACAGTGTGTGTGCATATGTGTCTGTGTGTGTGTATGCAGTAAAACACACAACTCAAACTAAAATTAGACCCTGAAGACTGATATTAGCTCACTTCCCACATATGGAACCAAACTCTGTAACCAAACCAAACACGCTCGCACACACTTACCTTCTCTAACACACACACACACACACACACAGTTGGGATTGTTAACTGTGACTCATTAATGTGTATTTTTATTGTCCTGAGATAAGCACCATTCATCGCCCATCACTGACATCACAGACTAAAAATGTTCTAATGAATCCAGTCTTCAGTCAGTGTTACCGTTGGACCAGCGTCCACCAGTTCTTCCCTCAAGTGCCACATGTTGAAACAACCATTCATACTCACATTTACGTTGTTCAATTTAATAAGTACAAGAGCATGATCTTAGTCATAACTGCTGTCATGTATTTATTTCACAATTGCCATATCACCAGACCCACTGACACCGAACTACACCGTGGTCTGACTCTGTGTTGGAGGTCAGGAAGTCATGCTAACCTTCTCACTGGAGAGAGTTATCAGTCTGATCCATTAATTTCGAGTATTAATTGCTGCCTCAGTGTTAAACTGTCTGTCCGCCAAGTTGAGACAAACAAGATCTTTCCCAAATTTACCAAACCATTCTTTGTGGGTTGTTTTTTTTTTAACTCTACCCACTCTCTTTTCTCTGCCTTTTTATTTTTCTGTCCATATTAAGCCTGGTGACTAAATGCCACCAGACGAGCCATTTATAGAGAAACACACAGACGGACAGAGAGACAGAGGGAAGGAGAAGCAGGGGGAGATGGAGAGGGAGGAGGCAGAGAGGTGGAGGTCATTTGGTGTCGTGGGAAGAGATTTAAAAAAAAAAAAATGCCGGTCCACTCACATCTTATCCACACATCTAGTCTCTTAGCTAGGCAAATCTGAACCGCAGCAGAACAAACATGTGAACGTTTCCTTTCACAGTTTGTCTTCACACAGAACCTACAGGAACTCATTCATGGGGGGTGGGAGGGAGAGGGTAGTAAAAGTCAGAGAATACTGGACGTTAGAGACGGAGAGGGTGAGAAGAGAGAGAGAGGGAGAGAGAGAGAAGCCAGTGTCCAGAGTGGAACTGATCTGAACTTTTAAAGAAAATATCATTTTAATTTAATAAAAACTCAAATGGAAAATAACAAGAGGTCACATGACCTTTCTGACTGTCTAAGCAAGGACAAAAAAGACAAAGAGACATGAGCCAAACGTACCAATGTGTGATGACAGTGAAATATAGAAGTATATATTTTACTGTCATAACACACTGGTCATTTTCTTCTTCTTCTTCTTCTTCTTCTTGATTTTCACTTGATTGTGTGTTGTACAGTTTTTACACCTACTTTTTATTTTAAAAATAAATTCTTCTTCTTCTTCTAATGATGGAATGGTGTTTTGGTTACTTTTTTTTAATCCAGTTTTGATTCTGTCTGAACATTGTAACATTGTCATTTTAACAGTCAGTCAAATACTGTGCAGAAAGGATTATGTTTACTTTCAAAGTGATTTCCGTACACATCATGAATCATGTCTTCACTTTCTCTGTTTAAAGATAAATAAAAGGTGTGAATTTTCCTTTTCTACGTCCTCAACAATGCTGACACCTCTTTTCAGTATGAGGTAATGTTTCGATGCCCACCAAAGACGACCTTCACACGCAACAATTCACTAAGTATGGAAATATGACGCAGCTTTGTGATTAACACGCACACACGCGCGCACACACACACACAAAACACTGTAATCTGTTGTGAAATGATTACAAGTCACCTGTCAGCTCACCTGACTGATGTCAGACCCTGTCATTACTGACTTGTTGTCATGGAAGCAGGACACAGTCTGGTTTCCAGTGATGGTGTGATTGGACTAATGTTTACTGAATGAACGTTCCATTAATATTGTGATCTACCATCACTATAACTTTTTCATATTTAGTCGCTTGTTTTCTTCGTGGTGATCTGTGAAGAACGAAGCAGCTGAAGGAGGATTTGAATGTTTACTGGGCCCAGGGGCCGAACAAGAGTTTGTTGTGAAGTCATCAGTTCACACACACACAGCCAACAGTCAGCAGATGTAAACAGGTTGAACTTAGGCTCACACTCAGGAATATTGACCAGGCTGTATTTAAACAGCATCATGACATATTATTATACACAGAAATGATCACAGGTTCTGGGTTGTTTTTTCACCATGATCAGAATACCTCCATCAGACTGAGGCTGAGGGCAGGGTTCAATATTAAACAAGGATGGAGCAATGTCGGTGTGTGTGAGAGAGAGAGAGAAAGAGAGAGAGAGCGTGAGAGAGAGAGAGAGCTTGAGAGCTAGAGGGTGTGTGTGTTGGTGTGTTTGTATACGTTACTCATTCAGAACAAATACACATTCTCATGTTACTGTTCTTGTGAAGTTTTTTGACCCAGAACCGTGTGGATGGATTTAACTAACACTAACACTGAGTTCAGATTTACATCCCCACCCTGAGACCAGGTCTCAACAAATGAGGTTGTGATGGTCCAGGGCCAAAGGACATATATTCACCTACTGTTATATAATTTATGTCACCCACCGGTTCTGCAGGGCAGACCACAGGATGGCTTTACATAACCATGGAAACGGTTGAGAGGTGAAAGAGAAACGGAGTCTTGATTTGAGATACGTTTCCAGATTTTAAAACATTTTAATGTTGTACGATCATCAGTCTTTGAACGAACTTTAAAGGTCCAACAATAATTAGTAACACGGCCAGGAATAACCCTATATGGCTACCAAGGACAGGGAGTTGCACACACACACACACACACACACACACGCAGCAGTTCACATGCCTATGCTGTAAGAGCATTGCCAGGAAAGAGGAGTTGTGCTGACACGTCTTTAAGGAATGTTTCCCTCAGTCTTCCATACATACACGCAAACATGCGCGCACACACAAATACAAACACACAACAGTCCACCTGTCAAATATGTTTGATACTGTGACATATCTGGACACATGGATAGTGACTGTAGTGTGACAGGACCGCGTGTTGATCCTCCTCTGTCTCAGCCAAGAACTGAACCCAGTCCACTGAGTAGACCTCCAGTCGAGGTGCTTGATTTCAGTAGACCTTCAGTAGAACACAGATTTCACAGATAACCAGTCGGAACCTGTTTTTGGGGACTTGAACCGGTATCCTTTGTTCTGCTGACATTTGCACCCCCGTTCTTCCTGAGGTAAACAACTCTTTTCCAGAGTTTTTATGTTCTTATAAGCAAACTGAAGTATTGTTTAGTTCCATAGTCTGCCCCCTCCTGGACTACTCTATTACCACATCTGGTCAAAAAATGTTCAAGTGAATATTTAGTTTGACCCTAGAAACAGTTTGGAAAATTTGTCCATAAAAGACAACTCAGACCCTGGACCTTTGACCTTTAGCCAGACTTCCATGTTGCCCTTGCTCTTGTATGCTGACCCATCAACTTTGCCTTCTGGGGGAAAGCGCCTCCCAGGCCAAAGTCACTTCCTGTTGTCTTCCTGGGCATCGACACATCAGACAGAAGGTCAGGGTTCCATGGTCTAATACTCTCAAGGACCTTTGAAGACTACGTCAACCTGGATGTTACACATAAGAGGGGAAGAAATGAATGAAGAAAAAGATAAAGACTGCTGTAAAACCAAAGAAATTAAAAAGATCTGGTTAAGGAACTATAGGAAATTAGTTTTCAAATCTTCTTCTTTACAAAAACACTGTGAAAATAAACTTAGAAGAAAGACAAAGGCTAAAAAAACCCAAAGAAAACATGAAAGAAATAATTTCCAGCTTGAAGAAGAGGAATGCAGAGTTGCTCGGCTTTGTCTGCCACAAACAAACGTGACCGACTGACCAACTTTGTCCTTTTCCCCCCACATCTCTTCTTTCTCCTCCTTCAATCTCATCTTCCCGTTTCAAATCCCTCTGTGGTTTTTTTCTTCATCATCTTTCTTCTCTTTTTATTTCTTGCCTCTGGTCTTCATAGTTCCATAAAGACAAGGTTGAAGACCATGAAGAGTGGTTGTTGGTTTGATGTCAACACTGACAGTGCTGTGATGGTCCTCTGTACTGAGAACCTGCCTAACATGATGTGGTGTTTCTGTGTTCATAAATATTTAGGAGGGATGATGTCATATTAGAAAAACGTAATTATTGCCTTTATTATCCCTCAAATGAGACACAGAGCAGACATTCCTCCTCAACCAATATTCAGGGAAGAGGTATTTATTGCACCAATAGTGGAAATTTCTGTGGAAGCAGCTGCTGACGTCTGAGACTTCAACCTCGGTTTTAACAACTGCCTGGATTCCACTCTCCTGCCACTAACATGCTTTTGCCCCGTGGAGCACCACTGAACACTGTAGGCTGGGGGCATCACCAGCTGCAGCCCATTGACAGAACACTGGTTCTGACCGGCTCTGACCGGCTCTGACTGGCTCTGACTGCAGAGGTGAGCTCTGAAAGGTTTTTAGTTTAAAGGTATTTACAATAATAAATGGAACAAATAATACAGGTATAATAATTAACAGCTGTGAATGTTGACCTTTCCTTGACCTCCATCCTATATAGACCAAACTGAATTATTGAAATAGTTTCAACATAGCACAGAGCAGTTTATTAATATACCTTATTAATACCTTATTAATATATTCTCGATTATTTATCATGTATGTAATTCAGTGTTATTAGTGTTGTCTTTGATCAATAATTAAAACCTGAAGCTCTGACATACGGCCGTTACCAGTTCATCATTAAGGAGCAGGAGCAGGTCGAGTGTCCAACCCCCAACCACCAGACTTTCCCCTTGACAGAAGACTGACTGCTATGATGAGCAGACTGAGGATTCTTCCAGTGAGCCTCCTGCTGGCAGCCATGTTTTCATGTGTGTGTGTGTCGGTATCAAATATTCTGAACTCACACTTTCATCTTCTCTTTCCTGACATTTCTTGTCGCAAATGTTT